GTCAGAGCACGATTACACTGGTTAAATCATCAGATTTTGATGAAATTTTGGACAAACGTGATGTAAACTTATATATAATTTAGATATTCGAACGACTTCGAGAACCAGTATGATCAGACTATGGAAACGTTTAATTGGTAAAATAATTTATTAATAAAAACTTTTTTAAAACAAAACGTTTTTAAACGCACTAAAAAGTAGAAAATAATTTATAAATATGTGGAGAGTATAAATACTTGTAAGACTTAAAACGAAAAACGTGGGGAGCATGCAATAGATAATTTACAATTACCTTCACTTATTGAACTAATGTATCAATTGCATGCACCCCACGTTTATCGTTTTAAATCTTACAAGTATTTATACTCTCCACATATTTATAAATTATTTTCCACTTTTTAGTTTTTAATGTGTGTGGATGTTAAATCTATTTCAAGCATCTATATCAGATTAAGACAGAGGCATGTGGGAAATCTAAGGTTTATTTGAGTTTCTTTTCATATAATTATGTATTAAATTGAATGTATGGCCTACCTACTAACTATAAATATATCAATCTATTTCATTTATTTTTTACTTTAAAGAATACTAAATAAATAACAATTGACATTATTAACAAACACCTTTATATCTGCAATCAGATTGTTCATCTTTATTTTGAAATGTGTGTTTGTATAAAGAATCTCTTGGGAGCATAACCTGTACCTCTTAACCTCTGCTCTTCGAACTGTCAAATTTAAGTATTTACAGCTGACTTAAATTAATTGATATGATTACATTCTTTCAAAATGTAAACATGGTTTGGAATTTGGAAGCCCATGGGGCGTAGCCCAAGGGAAATATGAAAATGAAATGATATAATAGCCTATTGCATTGTCATCCATTTGTGAGCTATGTTTCAAATTTCAAGTCTATAGCTCATCAGGAAAATTGATATTTAAAATTGATGTTCAAAATTTGTAGGAAAGCGAGGTAATCAAAACAAGCCCATGGGGCGTAGCTCTAGGAAAATATGAAAATGAAATGATATAATATTGCATTGTCATCCATTTGTGAGCTATGTTTCAAGTTTCAAGTCTCTAGCTCATCGGGAAGTTAGTATAAAATTGATTGCAAAATTTGTACCTGACAAGAAAGCGAGCTAATAAAAACGTTTTAAAATTGGGTTTTCCCAATTTGACCCTCAAAACATGAAATTTTGCAATTTCTTTCCAAACCATTTTGTGTGGCTTAAAAAACAAGCAATTCAATATAGGGAGCGTTGTTCTGAAGTACATGGTTACAGAAAAAAATATTTTAAAAACTGTAAATAAAAAATTTCTTATATTATTCGTATTTATTAGATCAAGTAAACTGTTGTATTTTGCCTGTAGATTTATTTATTTCAAACTAAATTATTGACATTTCAATAAAAACACAAATTATTACATTTCCTATATTAGCAAACCTAAGTACTCATTAAACCTGATGTAATTGAAATAGGGAATTCATTAGTGAAAATGAATTCACTATTAAACTATGAATTCATTATTAATGAAAATATTTTAATGAAATTTCGACCTGGTAGATGGAGATTCATTTTTCTGGAGATTTGCTTCGGAGGGGGGGTCGCCGGATTTCTACCCCCGGATATTTACCCCCATGAAAAAACGCCTACGTCATTTTGACGTCACGAGGGGCGGGGCCTATACACGGTCGAGAAACAGCCCGCGACTGGAAATCTACCCCCGGACATCTACCCCCAGACATCTACCCCTGGACATCTACCCCCGGAAATCTACCCCCGGACATCTACCCCCCGTGGTCAGCTCTGTCACGTATCGGCCAATATTCATTGTTGTAATTGATTTTATTGACTGTTTTATGTAAATCAACGGCTCTTCGGTTAGTAATTGACCTCTATTATCTAGTATTACGCATGTAATATGTCATTGTCTTGTTTAACATTATCTATCTTCCTAATGAAATAAGCTGTAACAGTCCTTTTTCACCCGAGCTACTTCACAGATTTTTATGATCGAGGTGTAATTTTAAATCTTAAGATCTAGCGCAACGCAAAATGGGAATTAAAACGATATTTTGATAAAGGGCTTCAAAAGTTTGACCCTTAAGCAATCCTTTAAAAGTTCCCTTCCCAGATTTGTTTACGTTATCGTCATATGGATTATTTTTTACTACTTTTAACGAAACAGCTGTTAATATTAAAATTGTACTTTAAACAACACATAGAGGGTTACTGAGTTTGTCAAAAAGAAGTATTTATAATGTAGTTTTCTGATTTAAAAAATTATTTTATTCTGCATCATCTCATGTTCTGCAATACAGTATAGCGTTCCATTACGAAATCATTGGAAAATATTACATACAGTAACTATTAAATTATTACTTATTGAATTATCTTATCTATTGTACGGCTTGGTGTCTGCATTTTTGACCACTTTTGCCAATATTTTGTCATATCTAAGACAGATCATCATAGGTTCATAAGATTATTTTCATACATGTTTTCAATTATTGAAAAAGATTTCGATTGTGTAATACAATACAAAATAATACAAGTGCAGAAGGGCACGTTGCCCATATGAGCCGTGTATATATTTTTAAATTAATAGTGGTTTACAGCAACTGGATTAAATTGTTAATAATTTTTATGAGGCAATATGTGCACGATTTAGATAGTCTTAATCTGCAAAATTGTAATTTATTGCAGACTTGTTAGAGATGTTACTTTGATGTATTCATTCAGCTTAGTGAAAACACAATAGAGCCTTTGAATGTTATTAAACTAACTACATACTACAAAAAAGGTTCAGGACAGGGCTATTTTAATGCGCTTGGATTGAGACATTTATTAATCCGGCTTATATTTTTCTTAGCCAACGAATTATTTATCTACAGAAGAAGTTCGTTGTGCTCTTATCCTGTCTACTAAGACACATACATCCAACACTTCCAAACACAATAACACCTATGACGGACGGTTTAAGAAATATGTTATTAATTGAATGATAAACCATATTTTGTAACTAACGCAATAGTCATTATTGTTTCTACACTTATTTATTACTCATTAAACAATGCTAAATGCTCACGTTTTTTATAATTTCACTCTGTCACAGTTAAAAGAATTATCGTAAGCCTTTAAAGCAACCGTCGATATTGACGGGTTTCACCTAGTAATTAATTAATTTATTGATCAACCGGTGGCAGGCTTTTTATCAACATTTAATTGCACTGTATTTTTACCTCTAGTAATCAGAAAATAACCTCCTTCAATTATCTGTTTTAAATTTCACGATCTGAGCTCGTGCATGCGCCGTTAGCTGTTACTGTGTGTGAAAGTTGGCCAAACATTTAAATCACTGTCTAGAAAAAAAATCAAATGCTTAAGGGTCAAACTTCTGAAGCCCTCTACCAAAATATCGTTTTAATTAACATTTTGCTTTGCGCTAGATCTTAAGATTTAAAATTACACCTCGATCATAAAAATCGGTGAAGTAGTTCGGGTGAAAAAGGGCTGTTACAGCTTATTTCATTAGGAAGATAGATAATGTTAAACAAGACAATGACATATCACATGCGTAATACTAGATAATAGATGGTAATTACTAACCGAAGAGCCGTTGATTTACATAAAACACTCAATGAAATAAATTTCAACAATGAATATTGGCCGATACGTGACAGAGCTGACCACGGGGGGTAGATGTCCGGGGGTAGATTTCCGAGGGTAGATTTCCGGGGGTAGATGTCCGGGGGTAGATGTCTGGGGGTAGATGTCCGGGGGTAGATGTCCGGGGGTAGATTTCCAGTCGCGGGCTGTTTCTCGACCGTGTATAGGCCCCGCCCCTCGTGACGTCAAAATGACGTAGGCGTTTTTTCATGGGGGTAAATATCCGGGGGTAGAAATCCGCTACCCCCGGAGGGGTCATCTTTTACTTTTTGCAGTAAAGTTGGACAGTATTTAGACTACAGAGCTAAATGCATTTAATGTTAAGTTATAACACTTCAAGTGAAGTGTAATCTAACTCTAGTAAGTATGTGACTAAATAGTTTCGAAAAAAATGTAAATGCACAAATATATTGATAAAACAATCGCTAGAATTACATATTTATTCCCATAGCAATGTGGGAATGGCCCTGGACTCCATATAAAATAAATATGTTCATGGACACCCCCATATTGGGATAGTCATACACTCCATCATTAAAGGCCTCATGCGAATCCAAATAGCATATACACTACCGGTAAGTTACTAAAAAAAGATTTTTTTCCTTTGTACAAAGCTAATTTTATATTTCTACTAAAGCTGCTGCAATGAATACGGTTGGTAACTGTGCATTTTTAATTAGGGGAGTTATTAATTTATACATTTTGTAACACTTTTCACTTCAAGATAAGGCTCAACCACTAAACTTCTTGTAATAATCAATAAATTAATGCCTATGCTAAAGCGGGGAGATGAGATGTTCAAATAGTAAAATAGACGTATTCACATTTAAAAAAAGGCTCTACAGGAGGTTTTTTAAAATTATCAAATAATGTTGATTCCCTCCGTAAACAGGTCTTTTAAATCAACAATTTTATTCCACGTTAATGTCAGTTATAAATTACGTAATGTAAAGTGAGGGTTGATTAATGGAAAGTTTATTACTATCAGTGATAATTACAGGACCAGGACCAGCTGGCCACAATTAGGTGCGAAAGTGACGTTAGCACCTGACCTTTATACCTCGGACAGCTAGATTCCTTCACTCGGCCGTCATTGTCATCCTAGCTCCTAGCATCACATTTCTCAGGGGACAGAGATATGCCAGTTATTTGTCATTTCAATGAGGAGTTCACCTTGGCAACGCAGGAGCGTAGAGAGCAGCATAGCAGAGCTGTTTAGTGCTAGCTGGCTGAGGCTGACTACAGAGACAGACCACAGCTACACGTACATGTACAGCTAGTCTGTGATGACGACAGATACACATATGGTAACGAATGATCTACTTACACTCGACGGACGGTACGCCATAGCTCCCATGTCATGATGGAATAATCCTCACAAGGTGTAGAGTAAGCATCGCCAACACTAACACAAAGACACGGTCACACACGGTAGCAGCGCTAGGCACATTCCTGATCCTGACCGACACGACTCTAGCTGTAGGCCACTCGACTGGACTTGGCTCTGCTCGCAACAGCTTTCTCCCCCCTCCTGACCGGGTACAGTCCCTGCCAAGAGTCGGCCTCAACCTATCATCAACTCTTGTCTTTTCTAATTTAAAACAGTTAATCCTAAACAGATTTTAGTGCATCGATTCGTGGGAATCACAGGGGTTTAAAAATCGTGACCGATAGTCGTTTGATAAACCATTGTTTTCTGGCAATTTTGCCTGATTACGGGTTATCACAGATATTATAACACCGCGCCTTAAGTTCCTTTTGATCCGAGTATCCTACTATTAGAAATTTTCCGATGATTTAAACAACCTGAACTAGTCGCGAAAACAAAAGATATTCCGTTATCCAAAAATGTATATAATTTTTAGAAATAACTATTTATCAACTAAATATTAGACTAAATTGTTAAATAAACGATTTATTCTTGCAATAGAAACCTTATTTAGTAAGTGAATAAAAATAATTCAGAGATTACTAATAATTATGTAAAGTATATTAGCGTGCATAGGCTTAAGTGTATTTATGTATAGCCAGGATGGTATACATAGTGCGACACGGTCCTCAAGATTCTATAAATTCCTAGATTAATTCCACTCGCCATAGGACGCCGCCACGGCATGGCGAAATGGTGAATGAGAAATAGGTGTAGAACGGATGACCAATTGATTCTTACGGTAGGATATTTTGAAAGACCATTGATCAGGAGTTGTTTAAGATGGTATCTATATTTCAGGCTTTGACATTATTTGACCGTTTGTCGTTATAATTGGTAAGATAGACAGACAGAACATTGTCATGAAGGAACACTAAACACTAGTGTGTATCTTATAGTGTAGGCTATGTAATATAAGTCAGTCTGAACACAATTCAACAGTGGAAACATTAAAACATCGCTGAGGTATTTAAAATAATGTAATGTTTGCTTTTTGAAATCGTATGTGTATTGTATTTTTCTTTTAACTAGGAGCTATGTCAATGTACAGTGGTTTTTTCAGAGACTTGAACGGTGGAGAAACGTAGTCGCGGGACTTCAATTTTGTTAATTGCTCACATTGTAAAAAAAATTATTTGATTTTCTTTCATTTCACATCGGAACTGATTTAGTACAGGTAAAATAATACAAAAACACTCCATATAAACAACAAAATTTGTACATTCATAAAATTTCACCCGTGAGTTACTAATAATATGAGAAATGAAGATCCGATGATTCCCCAAAATTTTGGGCGTCCTAATTAAGGCCCTTTTTGGGGCCCTTTTTGATCCGAAGGGCCCTTGTTCCTGAATAATTTTTTTTACGTTTAAGGTCGAGTAAGCTGTGGTTTTCGATGGTTTTAGTTATTTTAAATCGATTGGGACTAGTTTTAAGTGTATTAAACCACTCCATACAGGGTGTTTCGAAATAATTATTACTTTTTACAATACTTAAACATTTATTCATAAAGTAATAAAATTAGTTACCTCCATGCTCTATATAAAAGGGGAATATTGAAAATAATTGTAATTCTTTACTACGTAAGGGGAAAGGATCACAAGGATTAAGAAAAAATATTAAATACCCCCGTCACAGCAAACCTGCAGACTAAGCAAATTTTCATTTGCCCGATTTTCAATTAACTAAAATAGCATTGAGTTTAATGAATACTTAGGTTTGCTGCTACAAGGAGGCTAATAAAGTGTGTTTATAGTAAAATATTAATAGCCTAGTATAAAACAAATAAATTTGACAAGTTTTATTAAGACATATCTATAAACAAACAAACAAAATCATTTTACAATATTCTCCTTAAGAATAACATGGAATTTTAAATTTACAATTTTTGAATTTTATTCGTAACTAATACACTTACAAAACACATTAATATACTAAATTATTTGTTTTCTTTAAGCTCTTTAAAATGCTCTAGAGAAAAATTGGGAGACTTTGTGTTTTGAGGGTCAAAGATTAAAAATTTATACCACATAAAACCCTGTTCCAAGGACCGATTAATTCAAAAATTATCTACAATAAATATCGTTAAAATTGGTTTCGTTAAAATTGAACCAAAATTACTCGAGTTATCATGTTTACAGACACGTATGTAACATGGATATATTATATTATATATATATGTATATAAACACATATATAATATTTTGAGTTATCTAGCAACCCTCTAAACAGCAGCCCTCTAAGGGTGCTTTAGGCTTCTAGGGGCATCGAAATGAAAACGTAAATCGGTTTCGGGTCTATGTTTTACCATAAGACCTTCGGTAATAGCTTATTTCCTATATGGGAAGTTCGCTAAAAGGGGATGGATTAAGTTTTACACTATAACATAATAACAGAGGTTACTACGCCAAAATTTTAACTTTTAAGGTGGTGTGAATAATCTTTCAATGTATTTTTCATGAAAATCTATTAAGACCAATTTCAAATTGATATGTATTTTTCTTAGGTAGTTTTTAAGTTACCTTATTTAAGATTTTTTTACATTTATTAAAAATTAAAACAATTGTATTTGTATGAAACCTTACATTACATATTAAAATGAAGTACTTAAACTAAAGCTATTTTTCTACAATTTCCGTAGTATCTCTCTTTACAATTCAATCACCACAATAATTATTCTCAGACAACTCATTAACAATTTTATTATTCTTAGCAACTTGTCCATCTTTACTGATTTTGTCCAAGTTGGTGTTCAAGCAGGATTCCCCTTTACAATCCTTGTATATTGCAGAACAGGCAACACCAATCTTAAAGCACGAACAATGTGGTGCAAAAACACATTTCATACGTACTGTCGTTTGCAACTTATATCTTAATTTCCTCAAAATTATTTTCAATTAATACAAGTACGGTTATCTTTCGTGGTTATGACGACCAGGACAGCACTAAGACATCAGAGCAGCATTGTCGGTACAAGCATTTTTGTCCTGAACAATGGGAACGAGGTTTACGGGGTAAAAATTGGGTTTTCTGATTTACTTCACCCTCAAAACACAAAGTTTCCCAATTTTTCTCTAGAACATTTTAAATAGCTTAAAAACAAATAATTTAGTATACAGTATTAACGTGTTGTTGTATGGTTATTAGTTACAGATAAAAATACTAAATTTGTAAATTAAAAATTCCTATGTGTTCTTATGTAGAATGGTGTAAAATGATTTTGTTTGTTTGTTAATAGATCTTGATTAAACTTGTCAAATTTATTTGTTTTATATTAGTCTATTAATATTTTACTATAAACACACTTTATTAGCATCCTTGTAGCAGCAAACCTAGGTAATCGTTAAACTCAATGCCATTTTAGTTAATTGAAAGTCGGGCAAATGAAAATTTGCTTAGTCTGCAGGTTTGCTGTGACGGGGGTATTTAATATTTTTTCTTAATCCTTGTGATCCTTTCCCCTTACGTAGTAAAGAATTACAATTATTTTCAATAATCCCCTTTTATATAGAGCATGGAGGTAACTAATTTTATTACTTTATGAATAAATGTTTAAATATCGTAAAAAGTAATAATATTTCGAAACACCCTGTATGGAGTGGTTTAATACACTTAAAACTAGTCCCAATCGATTTAAAATAACTAAAACCATCGAAAACCACACCTCACTCGACCTTAAACGTAAAAAAAAATTATTCAGGAACAAGGGCCCTTCGGATCAAAAAGGGCCCCAAAAAGGGCCTTAGGACGCCCAAAATTTTGGGGACTCATCGGATCTTCATTTCTCATATTATTAGTAACTCACAGGTGAAATTTCATGAATGTACAAATTTTGTTGTTTATAAAACCCTATTTTACTAATTATTTTACTGTACTAATTACTGTTATTTACTGTACTAATTATTTTGGAAAGGAAATTCTGAAATTTCTCTAAGGAAACAAATCAAATCAAAACAATTAATAATTTAAGGTTGCATTGAAACAGTTTAAGGAAAGTGAAGGCAATGACGGAATATTGTCAGAAGATGAATTCAAGTGAGTTTATTGTGTATTGATTGAGAGGTGTGTATTAGCTCATAGCTGAAAAATAATTTACTCAGATAAAGTAAACATAATTAATTGTAACTCTTTTATAGACCTTCATTTATTAAAATGTTCAAATTTATGAGTATAGTGACTTAAGTTAGTGAATTGTATTGTGTATTCTAATTGTATAACGTATCTAAATTAAAGTTCGATCTCCAAGCGTTATCTGTATTTATTAACTCCCCTCTTTTAGGTTAATATTTAAGAATAAAACATTTGACTACATTGACACAACAATTATGAACATCTAAAAGAGAACAGTGTCGTCATTTTACACTTTTTTAACATTATTTGTTTTAGACACTGCTAAGTGATCCATACTTTACCAGTGCCCCTAAGGTCTATAATCAAAGATGACATATATTTATTTAAACAGGTGGGGATTTTGCCCTCTGGGGACATCAAAACGAAAAGTAACTCGGTCCCGGGTCGAGGTCTTACCATGATCTACGGTAATAGCTTATTACCGTAATGGGAAATTCGTTAAAAATGTAAAATTTTTGACGCTATGGTTATTAGGCCATTTGGGAAATCGCCCATTACAGCAACCTAAATATCAACCATGTCTTCATTGAAATTATCAAGCGCCTTTAATCCTATCGCGTTTGACATATTTTATAGATTGTTCACAGAATATTGTCATCATCATTGTTGAGCTAATTTCCTAAAATCGACTTTACATTTTTAATTTTTCTAAACCAAAAATAATTAAGTCCCAAACAATTAATAACTTTGACTATAATATATTGTTACACATTGGTCGAGCAGGGAGGGACTCTTGCAGGTCTAATGACGTCATAAAGTTGGGGGGTTCGACAGACGGCAAGGCACGACGCCTTGCCGCGTGAACCATAACTAACTAGTCAAACTAAACAATATAGTCCAAACCTATGACAGCTTTATCGTCTATCGGTCCCATATTATGTACGATCGTGAAGTACGTAATGACAAAAGTTATTTATATTTGACG